TCCACTCTGCGCCATAGTGCAATCCAACCACCATCTGAGCGCAATCTTCATCCTGCCTGTTTGGTTCACGAAACTGCCACTGGGCAAAGGTCAGAGGGGAGCCATCATCCCATCTCCAAACCGCTTTGTTGGCTGAATCACGACTCAGTCCAATCCACACGCGGCCGTAATGAGTAGGAAGGACATCGTTAATGACAAATTTCTGTTCATCAGCATTCAAGCATTACAGAATTTACACTGGTAGGTGCGGTGCTAACAGTTGGCGGACTATGTCCCTTCCCCGCCCGTCTGAAATACGCAACAGGCGTAGATTTTGAAGGACTTCCATCCTTGATCAACTTTAAGGCTGTTTGAAAAAATTAAATATGTATAAACCGTTCACTTCCTTTTTTAAGAAATAAAATTGATTGTGTAGTCGGTCAGTGGTGATCTGTGCATCACTTCCCACAGAGGCCTTAGCCTTTCCACCGAATAAAGGACTGTCTGGGCAGACTAAACGTGGTGTTGCCTATCTCTGAGGTTTCTTAGAGGAATTGTTGCAATGGGGAAGTAAGGGACAACACAACAATTAGAAAAAACTTGGAAAAGGAAAAAAAGGACAGATAATACTATTCCCATTACGCCTATTTGAAATAATGGTAATGCAAAGGATCAAAAAATAAGAGAAGTAAACTTTTATAATAAAATAGTCGTTGTCATGTTTCCGATTTTTCAGATTGTGACCTGTGTTCATTTACGTGAAGAGATACTAGTATTTGCGGTTTCAGACAGTCTGAGACAGTATCTCTAATCTACTAACTTAGGTTGTATAAGGCGATAATCAAATGCTACATTTTCAAAAAAAATTTCCAATTTGGTATCGAGAAGATACCTAAGTTGCTACAAATTCAATTTAATTTTTTCTAATCACGGCGTTTATACACTCTTATCAGGAAGTTTTGAAAAAGTTCTGCCAAATTTCCGTAATAAGCGCAAAAGCTAGCTAAAAATCTGACTCTTACAGAGGAGACGAACCTTCCTTCAAATCCTAGCAATAAACGCAGGAGATTGTATCAAACCAAGTACATTTGGTAGTTTACGGGCATGACTGATATTTGAAAGTTTTAGCAATGTCAAACTTTTTGAAAACATCATGAATGAAGTAGATGTTCTTTTGACGTCACCCTCTAAAGCTACTCTGTAGGTCCTGATTGCTTAATGCCCATCATACCTTTCAACGACTTAAGAAATGCTCCATGCTTCCTGTGAATCGATCATTTTTTACAATAATTGTGACGGACAAACTAAGGTTAATGTTTTTCGTAGCTTTCTAGAAATTAACAAGCTTTGTTTATCTATATAATCTTACACATACCAATGACCAGTGGGGGACAAGATATTATGTTGAGTATACGATACTCAAAGTAATTGAATTAATGAACTTACTGCGCTCCATGATTTTTTTTCCAGCATGGTTCCAATTTACAGTGCACCTACTGAGTCATTTGTTTTGTTAAGTCTTCGGCAAATTACACCTCCACGTTCTGACAAAGGAGAACTTTCATGGATTCTGTAATGAACAGAGCGCTCTTTCGGCTCAAGCCCTAACATTTCAGATGTAAAACTATCAGAATAATAGCATAAAACTTTTAGATATGTGGTAGAGTAGTAGTTTTGTCTCAGTGAAGGAGGCTAATAAGGAATGTTTCCTTTGAAAACTTGTCTTAACAAACTGTCAAACGAAAAGAATTCACATAGCCAGCCTGCATAGCAGCCTAAAGTTTTCTTACTAACTCTTGGGAATGAAATGTTGATGATAGCTTTCGTTCCTGTGGCCTAGGCTCAGTGCACAGCATAGTATATTTATGGAAGACATCAACTCACTCAAACCTTTTCCATTACTTTCGTGGATACAGATATTTCCCTTTGAAACTTGTTCAACTGGAAACTTCTCAAGCGACTTTTCCACAAGCAGTGTTCTCGAGTTTCTTCATATTAGAAACTACGTCTTTTTGCCATCAGAGCATTAGTAGGTAACTCAATTTCAAGGATTCTGACCAGGAAATCTTTCGATGTGACTCGGTAAAGAGTTTCCTCTTCCGACAGAACAACATGCAAAATGCAAAAGTTAAAACAAAGCTGGCAGCAGTAACGACTTACAAAATCATCTTTGTTAGATACATTAACTTCGCTCCAGCTGGCCAAACATATTCAACAATGTATGGGTATTTAACCTTACATACACTCAATTAATTATGGGAATGGATACTTCATTTGTTTTAGTGCTCAAAATTTCAAAATTTTCTCGATTGTAATTAGTTGAGAAACCTCTATTTCAAATGTAGTTTTGATCAAACGTCACTTTCTGTCATAGTTGTAGTTTAAATCAATTAATCACAACCTTGGTTGTAATCACCATTATAGAAACAGTGTACAGACTCCTAAATTGGAGCTGCCTTCAAAATGGAGAATTTTTTGTTAGTCTTTTAGTGTAAATTTTCCCTTTCTTTTATAGCTTAGATATTCTTCTTATCTCGGAGATCATAATTTTTATGATTAATTGGTCATGAGACTTCGTGTCGTCCAATCCAGTCTGTAATCATACGTGTGATAAACAAATCGGACTCCCGCTACGCGGTCGTCCGATTCTGTTATCAGTCGAATCAATTGGACTTCACCCAGTCCTATTACCATTACTTAGTCATTGCTGTTTATTCCCAAAATCTTCAATATAATGTCGGGTTGTCATAGCAAAGAAAGCAATTTCCTTAACATGTTGAAAAGCACCTAGAGGATTATTCAAGTTGACAATTAATGTGAACGGAGGAAAAATAAAAAAACTAAGCGCAAACTATGCTAATGATGTCAATGGTAAAGTTCATGGCCCAGCAGGTGCAGGGAGTTTAAATTTAACGTTTGTAGCTTCGACTTTGTGCACTACATACTGTAACAATCCTTATCGATGTATCACTATATCCGTTACTGAGCAGGAATTTCAAAGAGCACATTATATTCTCTCAGTATATTATTACTTGAAAATATTCTCGAGTTGAAGAACAATTTACCAAATGCCCAGCTGTCAGTGTAATTCCATGGCATTTGGTAAGCGGGGCTGAGATCAGAGTATACTGCTGAAAATCGTTCAATAAGGCGAAAACGCAAGATGGGTCAGTCTTCAAAACGCACAGCGAAGGAGTGATATGTAAACTCCAGTTCTACCGGAACAATCCATTGAGAGACACTTAACCGGTTTGTGCGAAAAGCAGATTAATTCATTCCAGGCTGGACAACCAGTTTGCGTAGGGTCTTTTGCAATTATTCCTTTGAGGAGGTCTCTGGCTCCACTTGATAAATCATAGTCCTTGAACACAGTTTGTTTTAATTTGTTTTGTTCATTTCTAGTTTTCTTTGCTTTTTTGGCTCCGTGAGAAATCTCAAGGCAATACCTGAAACTAGATGTAACAAATTCATTTGTCTGTACAATATGATATAAAAATTCGAACATTTTGGATGCTTGTTCATTCAAAACCAACTTTAAATAACAAACAGTAAGAAACTAAATAGAAATACTATGGGACGTGGAACCAACATACAACATCGTTGGAAGTCATTTGAGCAGAATAATTTGAGGGCTTACTGATGCATCTAACTAAATACTTCTATTTCTTGGCATAATCTTCCAACACACATGATAATGTAGTAAGTTTATTTTTGTTCTGTTTGTTAGGTAACACTCAAAGCGGAACTTCACTTTTCAGACTGAGCACCAGAATTTTCAGAGCTCGAGAGATAACACATTAACCTATCACTCTAAGTGTTGAAATCATTTCTACCTGAAATATCAGCCCAAACATGATGCGAATAAAGAAAACAGACGTTAGCCTGACATATGACTTGTTTCCTCACTTGGGTTTCAGGACTCTAAAGGACTAATCAGGGATATTTTTCTGGGTTTTTCTGGTGCTGGAAAATTCCTGTACAAAATCCCAGGACATAACCATTACCATCATAACATCATTACAAATTCTCACCTCTTCTTGCAGATTCACAGGGATAACTTTTTTTAAAAAACTGTGAGTAAGTGATAGAGTAATAGTAGTGACAAAGTACAGAAAAATTAGGAGTCTAATCACTCCCTCAGAGCAAGGGTTAAATAGATTTTTCCAGGACTTGCACAACCCTATCCAATACAGGTTGGGAGAAGCATTCTCTCCAGGAAATGGAAGGGGTTTGCAAGAACTTATGCAGACAAAAATAATTAAAATAACACACCCATTGTTGTAACAGTATCAGTTTCCGCGATAAATGTGGGCTGAATGATTGCCTGATTGATTAACAGATTGAAAAAATTATGGATAATATAATTGAATGATTAATTGATTCATTGATTGAATGGTTCAAAGAATGATTGAGCAAATAATTAAATGATTAATTAATCAGTCAAATAACATGTGGATGATATAATAAGAAGATTGATTAGATTATTGATTGAATGATTATGTAAAGGCAGGGAGTTTTAATCTGAATGGCATAATTACATGTATGTGTAGGCATGCATATTTGACTGTATACCTAACCATAAATGGCCTTAAACAACACATGTAAATAATTGTCTTCTTAGTTGAAAAGTTCAAACATCTGTTTGGGTTGCTTTAACAATTCTCTAGTTTACATTGTACATCTCTACTCCAGGATGGATTTTACCACAATAAAGTTGGCGGGAAGTTACTCTGAGGTCTGGCTTTTAGATAATAACAAGGTGCCAGAATTTTGTTTGTTTGTCAATTTCTTAATTTATGTTTGTTTGCTGGTTTTCTTTTTAATTGCTTTCTTTTTTCTTTCACTACTTCAAGGAGACAGGATTGCATGATTAAATTCCAAGTCCATAACTGCTTTCTTTGACAAACATTTCCCCACACACAACTTACATTAAGTAAGTAACACCTTTTGAAAAAACTGCCTGATCACTTCTCTTTGTTTGTGGGCCACTGTATGCTGTAGAGGTATATTTTAGGCAGTTTCTAGTGCATCTTGTATCTGTAGAGATTTAACGAAAGCTCTGATGTAGTCCACCTGTTGAGATCTTGCCAAGTGAAGAATTTCCACCAAGTTCTGTCTTTCTCTTTGTTATCTTTTTGACAGGTGCTCTCCATAAACCCTGTATCTTGGTATTTATCCCCCTGATGACTGCTTGAACAGGTAACAGATTTCATCTGAGCTGGGTTAAACAAACTGTTCAAGTCAGGGGGGTCTTCCATGCTTAGATGGGGATAAAACTGCTTTATCAACTTAAACTGGGGGTCATGGAACTTTACCGTTGATGGACACACCAAGAAAACCTGTTAAAACACATGAATAGTCTGTTAGTAAATACAGTGAACACTTACACTAAGCCACTGTGATATGTAATGCACTCAATATTTCAGCATTTCTACTTGGGATACTTTGATACCATCATCTTCCTAGCATAACTTTATTTTGAAGCATTATTTTTATTTCCAACCTGTTCCCATCTCAAAGAGAAGGGATGTTCTGTTTACCAACAACCTGCTTATCTAAAACTGACAAGGGACTACCTCTCACGTGGATTGGGATAGGTGCTTTATCCTTAACACAATAGTAAACTACAGAGCAAAATTATAAACAATTAAACGCTTTTAATTCCTGAAAGCGATTCAATGCCTTCTTCCTCCTTGTGATCCCAATGAACTTCCTCCTGGCAGATTATGAGAACAAGGCCAGACAGTTTATACGGTGAGTATATATGACTGCCACTTAATTCTGTCTCCAGTCCGTATAAATATGTGGAAATCCTTTGGGAGGTTACTAATCTATGAGGCTAATCAGCCACTGCTTCATGGCCAAACCCTGATTCCTAAGATGCAAAAGTATTAAACCAATAGTAACATTAAGTTTGTTATTACCTTCCATTAACATTGGATTTGTGCTCATTCATCTGTGCATACTTTAGTTTGCTGCCCCATAACTCTCTGAAAGATTCTTCATTCAATGTAATTTTATGAAATTACAGAGGGACACGCATTCACACATTTAACAGTCAAATCAGCAGTACAGTGTACGCCAAAATTATGCAATACTCACAAATTAAAGTGTTTTACTAGGATTTACCTCTTTCTTCATTCCACGAGCCTCAGTTTTCTCCAAAATCACTGTCAAATGATTGTTTAGTTCATATTGTGAAGCACCTTTTAAGTCATACAATGCCAGGTTATTGCATTACATCCCTTTGTAGAACTATAAACCAACTTGGGCCGCACTAAAAGATGTTAGGGGTATACCAAATTGTAGTAAAAATTATATAGGTGGTACTCAAGTACTAATCAAGTATGAAGTGAAGATGTCTTTGGAGATGTTCCAGACGCGGTGACACCCCGCTGATGCAATATTCAAACGCATCCATACAGCCAGTATATTTTGATCAACCATGATAACAGCAGCAAGTGGCGCAAAAGATGAAGAAAACTTTGAGAAAAACAACCGGTGGAATGGGAGCCGGTGATAAATCGATGCCTCTTGATGTATAGGTAATACTTGACAACAACACCACAGGAACTAAAATACTACAAAACAGCATCCTTAAAATGAAATAAGCTTTTAAATCTTTTTATAGTATTATCTCCTTTGCAGTCATTGTAACACCAAGTTATCGCCGGTGCAAAAATTTTTTCTTTATCCTTGGCATAGACAGGTGTATATACATACAAACTAAACAAGTGTCCAAAACAAAAAGTAGCATGTTAACTGCAAAATGTGTAATCCTTGGATGGAGACCATGTTCTTCCAGTGAGCTGGTGTCCATGTTGTACAAGAAAAAGTTTACAGGAGTCAAAACAAATTTTCTTATCTTATAGTACCGAGTAATAGAGTCTAGCCTAATCAAACTAACAACAATTGTGAGCTCACAAGACCCAGCAAATGATGCAGTATTTCATAATAAGAATTTTGCCAATCGACATTTTATCGATGGACAATGGCCAGGTAAACAAGCATCTAGCAGGCACCAAAACGCGAGAACTATAAGGCCAGAAAGGTGGGACGGATCCAAATCCCTGCACCTACGATGGCCCCTATCAAGAGGTATCGTGCCTGGTCCTTTCTTGAGTGTAAAGCACTTCTTTTCGTCAAGGAGAGCACAACTAAAAGGAGGAGAAAAGCGAATAATATGGCCTCAGCTGTATTGGAAAACGTTCGCGTATAAAACACAAGGGTTACGAAGGAAGTTCCAAGAAGACATAAGGACGGTGCTGGGTCTGTTCGAAGATTTCGACAAATTACATAAACTGACAGATCAATGATCAATGAAGCACCACAAATAAATAGTCTTGGAGCCTAGCAGGCGCAGACTGATAGCTTCACCCAAAGGTCCTCAAGATGTAACAGTAAGCCTCTGTGAAGCGTATGCAGGCCACCAGATCGACGCAAATTCTCCTAAAATTCCCACGTTCTTGTGTGTTTAAATTCAAATAAATCACCAGCAGTGATCTCTGGTCCTTGGAAAAACTCGTCTGGGTGCGGATTAACTTGTACCATTTGTGGAGGAGCAGGCCCAAGAAAACGCGAAACTGCAGTCAACCAGGAATAAAGGCCGGTACGAGCCGCCATATTGAAGAACAAGTTCCACGAGCACAGTTTACCGACACTCTCCTGCGGTGAATTTTTTTACGCTGGTCGTTTCCGCCTTCTTTTGCGCGAAAGCCAGGTAACACGAAATCTGCAGTAAAGAAAACGAAACAACCCTTGGTTTCGTTGAAGACGTTAGGATTTCAATTAACTGAGTAAGGGGAGTGTAAATTAATTTTGTGTACATAAACACAGGCAGTAACACATTTTTGCGCCAATATATATCAACAACAGCCTCTGTTGGCCTTGCCCGAAAAATGCCGGATATTGCATCGGCGGACATTATCACTGACCCAAGATGCGAACAGTTTCTACCGAGGCGAGGTCGAGGGAAACTGCCGCGAACGCGAATCGAATGTGCGCTTAAGGACCTTTGACCACTGCTCAGCAAATTAAGGCTATTTATGTTTCCGTATCCTTCAAATATTTTGCAACGCACGTAGAAAAATATCAACGGACGAAAACTTACTGTTGCGTGGGATTCTGCTCTTGGGTGTTCTCTCTCTGGCTCACTAGACAAACATGTATTGCCTACTTCTATTAAACAACCCTAAAACGCTCTCTCATCTTGAGTTAAAGTCAAACTAAACTAAACAAACATGTATTGCCCTGCTTTAGTAACAACCACAAAACGCTCTCTCATCTTGAGTTAAAGTCAAACTAAACTTATCAGCCAATTTGAAAAGATTTGGGGGTAAATCAGTTTCAGCTAGAGACATTCTGGTCACGTTACGTTTACCATTCTTTTGGTAAAAATTCTCCAATGGACATGATTCAGATGTTGCGTGGTATGAAGAATTCGTTCATTTTACATGAGGATATAAACTCTTTGGGCATTTCCACTAGCTGACTAAGGCTTATATATGTTGACACTCAGAAAATTGTGAGCTTTGCAAGCGTACATCAGGAAACTATACTTACTTACGCAGCTTAATAGTTGCACTTACTCATTGCGTTTCAGACCATCATTAGAAACCACACGTTTTTTGACTGGACGATCAAACTGCTTGCGTAATAAAAATAAAATGGAAAAATGAAAAGAGGTGAATGATAAATGCTCTTTTGTACCTTACACCTTTGGGCTTGAAGGGGCATTATAGAATTGAAGTGTACATCTTGCTGATCTGTCTATCTATGACCACCAAGTAAGGCTAATCAAATATGATCTACACAACGATTAGAGGAATGAACTACAAGGTTTTCATCACTTTGATCGATAGGATACTTCACCAAGAATATGCATGTAATACCCTATCAGAGTTATTTCTTTGACGAAAACCATAAATTCCTATCGTTTTATTTTTGCAACATTACGCGTTCAGAATGCTTGTCTTTTTCTTAAAAATCTCTTAGATAAAAAAAAAACTTTAAAAATACTGTCTAGCACAAAAGCTCAAATAAATATTATCATTGACTCATTTTTCATGTAAGGCTGCGGCATTTCGCTAATTGGTACCTTTGACCCTCTGTGAAGCAGAACACAGGTGCAGTTTGTATCAAAGGCCTCCACCCGGCTGGGTTCTCAATCAGTAGCTTTTGTTTCCCCTCTAGACTTTGGGGTTCATTTTTCGTCTGATTTTCCTGATCCATAAAATCAAGGGTTGGTTCTGCGAGAGATCATCCGGGAGAAAAGATATCTCCCCTAAAGGGGCTGGGTGAAACAATGTAATGTCAGACAGAATATATCAATATTGGTGTACTAATAGTAATAGTTATATTGATAGTGACAATAATATTAACAGCCAGCCAATAATAATATAGTAGTAGTAGTAATAATACAAGATCTCATCGGATCGCCTAGTTATGGCTGAAGACGCCGGTAAAATTAGGTATTTCTCTTTTCGCAGAGGACTGCTTGATAACAAGATCACACTGACGACGAACTCATTTCTAAATCCTATAGGCTGTCACTTAAAAGATTTGAAATAAGTGTGCTTTTTATACATCAGGATTCTATGGCGGAGAATTTGGACGACTGCGGTTTGAGCACACTTACCGCTTCATTAGCACAGAAAGCTGAAAATCCAGTTCAGTGTGCTGGGGTACATCATAGGTAGAAAAACAAACTTGGCTGGGAAATACAAGACTATGGTTCTAAGGTAGTAATAACAAGTAAATGATGGCTGTAATTTATTCTTGACTTTGTATAATAAAAATTGTGAAGAACAATCAAAGAAATCCTATATATTTTTTCGAAAGATTCAGGAAAGACAGCAAGCCCAAGCAGGAGTTTCTTTCCTACATGGATACTGGGATACTCATCTTGGGACATGTATACTGAGACAATGGACTTTCCTAATCTAAGTTATCTTGAGTCTTCCGGCTTTTCTCAGGAACGGATCTTTTTCTAGTGGGAGCGTACATTACCGTGCTTACACATCCCAGCAGCCAGTCCACATCCGGCGTTCGAGGGGTAATAGAAGGGTAAATTTTGTAGACTGAGAAAGAAAGAAAGCAAAGTGAAATAGACTCCTCGAAATAGTTTCATCCACTGAAAATAACTACCCTTACATTAAAGGAGGAACCGGGTCAGTTGAAAACCTCTGGTAACTCACTAAGCAGCTAACCGATTGAAGGTCAGACAATGAATTGAATGGCTTGGGGAAGTTTTAATAAAAACAAAAACAAACAAACAAATGAACAAGGGCAATTGTAAAGAACAATACGATAAAAGAAGGAAAATGGAAGAACCTTCATAATACAGTCAAGCCAATATTTGTGGCCACCAAGTACGCTGAAAATGAAATGTAAAACAATGAAAAACCGCCATTTTGTATCTGCTTTAATATTGTTCTGATGGCTACTAAACTTGCTTGGCTCTACAAACATCATTGATTTCGGGAGAAAACATGGATTAAATTTTGCTTTAAAGATAATTCTTTCTTTAATTTGAGTGGTTCTGCTTAAGTGACCGTTCAATACAGGTGGAAGACGATACAAGCAAGCCATTGAGAGTCAGTAAAGGGTGACCGACCATTCCGGCACTTCGCTTAATACAGCAATTGCAAAAAACTCTAATTTCTCCTACAATATCATCCTTAATCACATTGAGGTCATGGGAATAAAGTGATCAGGAAGGAACCTTTGGATTATGTAACAAATTCTCCTTATCAACTAACACTTAGAATGTAAGGTGGTGGCAGAATATGCTTTTGATGTTGGGAAAATTGAGGTTAACAGAAATTTGACTAGTGGTAAAAAATTACAGTAATCGAGCAGAAATTTCGAAACTAGGAGGATAAACCCTTGTCTGAGTTCTGACCTTCCTGGTGGCAGAACGAAAATACCACTAGGGTGCCGTGGGAGAGTGAGAGTCTGTATGCCTATATCCCAAGGGGACAGCAGTGTTTTGTAGTCTCTTCCACAGCAAACTGCATGTAGTGAGACAACAGCCATGGCACCAGCCAGCTAACTCCACATGAGTCTCGTAATCAAGGAACATCCATCAGGGCATTTAATGTAGTTCTGTCTGGCTTCTAGAGAAAAAAATGGGAAAAAACTGTTTTGAGATCCTTTGCAAGCAAGGAATATTAAAAAAACTTTTCTACAGGCGGATTCATGCTCTTCTTTCCAGAATAGAATAAGGTGACGAAGACGAAGAACCTTAGTTGGGCACTTATATTTTATGTATTAGTAATTCCATTAAATTGCAAGTAGTTCGCAAAAGATCTTGAAACCTTGCTACCCATTATTATGACCTGGAGATGGACATTGTGCATCATCTTTATGCGCTCAGCACTTTTAATATTCATTTCCTGAAATTCTGAGGGTTTTATTTTAACATTAAGTATGCGTTATTGAACCTGGTGACAAAGAGGCTGGACCCATTCATGTTCAAAATTTCCAACAAATTTTACCTGTTTTTCCTTCAAAGCTTTTTGCCAGAATTCAGACTGATAGCCGTACCAATTAGATCTCAGAAATCGATGGATTAATTTATTTACGTTTTATTTGTTTTTATTTCTTAGGTTTGTTGGGTGTGGCTAACTTGGCTTAAACCAGTAATTTCATGAGCAGCATAAAATGACATAACATATAACCGGGCACTGAAAAGGGCTAAACCACACACAGACACAGCAGAAAAAAAAAGAGGAAATAGGAAAATGTAAAATATAAAAAATATAAAAAAAATGCATTTAAATTGGTACTGAAATCTTTTGAAATAAATTGCTCCAGATCTGTTTTAAAAGGCGCTGAATCTGAAACTCTACCACTTTATACAATCTTTGACGTACCACAACACACTTACCTCCTTTGGCATCCATGTGTACCTAGGCAGTGTATGTATGCTGCAACACCACAGCATTCTTTAACGGGCAGCAACCGTACGTTCCAGATGGCACTTTACAGCAGGTACTTCCATTAGGACATTGATATTGTTTATCGGGGCATACGATGCCACTTCCTGCCCTGATGTGCGTAATTACCTGCACCGCTGCATACATCTTTAGAGAAGCTATACTGCTGCTTCCGTGGGTGGGTTCCCAACGAACACGTCACCAAAACATCATTGGGATGGCAGTGTTCTCCGTGCTGCAGCAAGCCAGCATTTGGAAGGACAACAGCCCTTATGCCTGAAGAGTTTGTAAAGTGCCATCTGGACGGCTGGACTGACCATCAGGATAAAACTTTGTTACTAGCTGTAACTCCTTGTTTTGATGCAGCACGTTTTCACCCTTCATTAGTTCTGCTTCCGTGGGTACAGGTTCCAGCAGACACGTCGCAAGTATATCCATTAGGACATGAATTGTTCTCATCCTTTTCGCAACAAACAGCATTGAGAGAGGACAACAGCCATATCACACACACAGAGGTTTTGGCAAGTGCCATCTGGACATTCGGACTGACCATCAGGACAAACTTTCATTTAGCTAACTTACCTGCTGTTTTGATACCAGCGTTTTCCTGCTGTTGGTAAACTACCTTCTCTTGAACGGGTTCCAATGACACGTCAAGTATATGTCCATTGAGACGGTGTACTCCATCGCTACCAACCGATGCTGGCAGGGGACAGCAGCCACATATTTCACCAGAGACAGTTTACAGCAAGTACTTCCCTCTGGACATTCGGACTGACCATCGGGACAAACGATGTTGCTCACTCCTATAATTCCTCGTTTTGATGGCTGACGTTTTTCATATGCTCCATTGTAGTAGCTTCTTAACTTCCTTGTGCAGTTCATGAGGGCACATCCACCGTATATCCATTGGGACATAGTGTTCTCTCCATCGCTCACAGCTTGACAGCCTTTTGGCAACAACCATGACTACTGAGTTTACAGCAAGTGCTTCCCTCTGGATATTCGGACTGACCATCAGGACAAACGGTCTCCTCCGACACACTTTCTTGTTTAAATCTAGCACTTTCTTAACCTGTGCATTTCTGCCTCTTGCATTCCAGCAGACACATCCACAAGTACTATGTCCATTAGGACCTTGATGCTATTCCATCGCTATGCATGTGTGCTGGCAGGACAGCAGCCTGTATTCACTGAAGAGAGTTTACATAGTGCCTCTGACATTTCGTGGGGAATGGGACTATCAGGACAAACGATGTTACTCGTTGCACTTTCTTGTTTCAATGCCAGAATTTTCTTAACCAATGGTAAACTGCTGCTTCCTTGCGTACAGGTTCCAGCAGACACATCACAAGTATAATCTATTGGACAATGAGTGTACCGCTGCAAATAAACAGCATTTGGGAGAGGGAGCAGCCATATTCACTCTGAAGAGTTTACAGCAGTGTTTCTGATATTCTGGATCACCATCGACAAACTTTTGTTACTCGCTGCACTTTCTTGTTTCAATGCTAGCATTTTCTTAAGAATTGGTAAACTGCTGCTTCCTTGCGTACAGGTTCCAGCAGACACGTCACAAGTATATCCATTGGGACAGCAGTGTAACGAATGTTGCAACAAACAGTACCAGAGGACAACAGCCATATTCACCAGAAGTCAGTTTACAGTAAGTGTTTCCCTCTGACATTCGGACTGACCATCGGGACAAACTTTGTTACTAGCTGTACTTTCTTGTTTCAATGCTACCATTTCTTAACTAGTGAACTGTTGCCTTTGCGTACAGGTTCCATGCACGTGTCGCAAGTATATCCATTGGGACAGTAGGTACCCATCGCTACAAATAAAACAGCCTTTAAGAGGACAACAGCTATATTCACTCATAGAGGGTGCTTGCAGTGCGTTTCCCATCTGACACTGGGATTGACCCATCACAAACGATGTTACTCGTTGCACTTTCTTGTTTCAATGCCAGAATTTTCTTAACCATTGGTAAACTGCTGCTTCCTTGCGTACAGGTTCCAGCAGACACGTCACAAGTATATCCATTGGGACAGCAGTGTACTCCATCGCTGCAACAAACAGCATTTGGCAGAGGACAACAGCCATATTCACCTGAAGAGAGTTTACAGCAAGTGCTTCCCTCTGGACATTCGGACTGACCATCGGGACAAACTTTGTTACTCGCTGTACCTCCTTGTTTTGATGCCGGCGTTTTCTTAACCATTGGTAACCGCTAAGCTCCTTGCGTACAGGCCCCGGCAGGACACGCCCGGGCGCATATCCATTGGGACAGCAGTGTACTCCATCGCTGCAACAAACAGCATTTGGGAGAGGACAACAGCCATATTCACCAGAGGTCAGTTTACAGCAAGTGTTTCCCTCTGGACATTCGGACTGACCATCGGGACAAACTTTGTTACTCGCTGCACTTTCTTGTTTCAATGCTACCATTTTCTTAACCAGTGGTAAACTGCTGCTTCCTTGCGTACAGGTTCCAGCACGCACGTCGCAAGTATATCCATTGGGACAGCAGTGTACTCCATCGCTGCAACAAACAGCCTTTGGAAGAGGACAACAGCCATATTCACCAGAGGGCAGTTTACAGCAAGTGTTTCCATCTGGACACTGGGACTGACCATCGGGACAAACGATGTTACTCGCTGCACTTTCTTGTTTCAATGCCAGCATTTTCTTAAGAATTGGTAAACTGCTGCTTCCTTGCGTACAGGTTCCAGCAGACACGTCACAAGTGTATCCATTGGGACAGCAGTGTACTCCATCGCTGCAACAAACAGCCTTTGGCAGAGGACAACAGCCATATTCACCAGAAGACAGTTTACAGCAAGTACTTCCCTCTGGACATTCGGACTGACCATCGGGACAAACGATGTTACTCGCTATACTTTCTCGTTTTGATGACGACATTTTCTTTACCATTGGTAAACTGCTGCTTCCTTGCGTACAGGTTCCGGCAGACACGTCACAAGTATATCCATTGGGACAGCAGTGTTCTCCATCGCTGCAACAAACAGCCTTTGGAAGAGGACAACAACCATATTGCCCTGATTGAAGTTTACAGCAAGTGTCACCTTCAGGGCACTCAGACTGACCATCAGAACAGATAATATTGCTCTTTCCTGTCTCTCCTTTCCATGCTTGTATTTTGGTAAGAAGAGTTTCTATATCTGTCTTCCTGTCACAAGTTTTCTTTTCGATATTACATTCAGGCCACTTGACAGCACGAATTCCACACAAGTGGCAAAACAATTGGGAAATGGACAGCAGCCCCAATCCCTTGTGTGAAGCTTTGGTGCGCCCATCTGGCTACCTGACTACCATCAGGGCACAAGGATATCATTCAGGAAGAACTTATTGATAGTTTTTTTTTCATCACAGGTATTTTATCATGGTCTCTGCTCTTTGATGCTGCTATCTTTCCCATTTTGACCGTTGACTGCTTTAAAAGTAGGGTCTTCTTGCTGGAATATTGTCCTTTTATTTGCTCCAGTAACTTCCAAGCGTATTTTAGATTTGGGTGATGTAATTGTAATGAAGCTACAGTATCGGTTTCAGATGAACAGGCCTAAGTATCTTTTATACCGTAACCCTAGACAGCAAAATGGATCAGGATTAAACACACTGCCTCTGTACTGATGAAAGAAAGATATTTATAAATTACCCTGGCAATGTGTATCTAGGAGATAAAAGTAATGAAATGATAACTTAATTTGATTACAACTGATGCTTTTGGTTTAACCCTTTAACTCCCACGAGGGACCAAGACAGAATTTCTCCTTACAATATCAATACAACCTAAAGGTGTATGCTTCTCTTTATTAACTGGCAAATTTATGTAGAAAGTGAACTAAGGTTATGTTAGAATTCTCTGTTTCATACTGACTGCACGTTTTGTTGTGGCATCTTGATTTAATATTTGGAAAACTTCTGACATAGATACATGTACACCCCATTAGATTGTTTAACATGTAATACGTGTGAATATCTGAGAGTTAAGTAGTATTCTTGCGAGCCCCTGTATGCTGTAATTAGTACGAATTATTTGCCCATCAATTCTAAGCTCTAACATCCACCCTGGGCATCCCATGGGCATATCGCTGTCATCCACATCTAGGGGGGGAAGGGTGGGCTCTTTAAACTTCGCTGGGTGGGGTGAGGAATTTGACCCAGAACCATCAAGTCTTTCCAGCAAAATAACTATTATACCTTTTACTGTGGAGGTGTTGAAAGGGAAAAAGGTCACTTTTATGAGCAGATTACTCTGAAAGGTCCACAATAAAACTACAGGAACATTTTGGATGGAACACTAAATCAAAATTTTGGCCAGGGAGGGAGAGGGAGGGGGGGGGGGGAAATTGAAGCTTTGAATTGATTATTGCATTACTAAGAAAAGATACAGATGGTAGTACTTCATTTGCCTGAAATTTAAAATTTCCAACAGTCCAAAATCAATTTTGAAGAACCTAGTGAGAGGCTACAGAAATCCAAATAATTGCAACTGTTTTTTTAACCTAACCCTAACAAATATGCTGATTTGTACATCCCATTTAAATCTAAGAACTTTAACAAGAGCAAATAATAACTACTGAATAACAAATGACAATAACAGAAAACAACAGAAACAATTAAAAATTTAAATCCTACTTACATACTAATTTGCTAAAAATAAAGATCTCTGTGACATTATTCATTCAAATAAATATATATCATCTTTGCCTTATCTCCATACATCCTGAACTCAAAAACAGGGAAAAAGATAATTGAAAATGCTACATATTAAATACATGTTTATTAAAAATTAAACAAAACCAGTGACTTTTTATTATTTTAACAAGAACACCAATACACTTTTACTACTTTGATCTGTCTCCACACCAAGTACAATACAATATCAATCAATACCTGTCTGGGCAAGCATACTGATTGTTGCATTTTACAATTTTGGCCCTCGTGGAACGAAACAGAGTAGCAACATCGTCTTTCCTTGTTTCTTGACACACACCATTTTCACAGGAGTAACCAGTAGGACAGCAGTGAACCTCATCACTGCCTGGAACAGAACAACAGGAGTGGAGAGAAGGACACTGTCTGATGGCACCAGGACATACAACAGCATCCAACACACCAATTTCATTCTGTTGATGAAAAACATACCAGAATGATGAGTGACATGCAGCCCATGAAACAAAGGGTTAATCTGCATTCACATACGTACAAATACTTAACAGTAAATTGTAAGCATGCTTGACAAATTTAATCAATTAAGACCCCATGCATACTAATCTTGACAGACAAGCATATAATTCCATTCTTAGACACCTACCGTAATTTCCGGTCGATTACCCGCACGGCCGATTACCCGCACCGGCCGATTATTGCATACGGCGAAAAAAAAAGTCAACGGATTACCCGTACCGGTGGATAACCCGCACGTTGTTATTCAACTTTTTCGGTGGCGAAAACGTGACATTAAGGCGATACATTTCAGTCTTTCGATTCAGACATGTGCACAATTCTGTGTCAATATTAGTTTACTTTTATTGATTGATTATTGTTGCTGCTCTATTACCGATTTCATCGGCAAGAGTTATTACCTAAGCTTATAATCAAACGTAAAACTGTGACGTGGGCGTTTTACAGCAGGCATTTCAACTTTAATTGGTGACTCGCATACACTTATCGCGAATGATCGAGGTTTATAATTTTATTCAGCCAGTTACCTTTTATAGCATGTAGGAGCGTAATGATAATATCCATTGTTCATTTGTCGTTAAATATTTCTTTCAGCGCGAAATTAGTTGTTTCGCACCCATTATTTTCTAACATTCTTGGTGATGCATTTGGGACTAAATTACCGTCGGCAATTTCTCGCAACCGATATCTCCTGTTCTACTGGGCCCACGTCCCTTTAAACGGAAAATTCTTCTTTAGCTCAAGCTAGTGAAAACTGGAAATTTGTTACGCGCTGGATATCCTTGATTATTTTTTGTCACCATCAAGGTTTTCGTTTTCACGCGTGCTAGATAAAAAAATTTGTTTGTCACGCACCAATTATGCGGTGAAATAAACCTGAGTTACATTTATGTTTTCGTGCCGCTTTGTGGCACTTTTGATACAAAAAAATTCATTTGAGAGGTGGAAACGCAGGTAGGTGAGAAATTTTTTCAATTCAACTTCCAGAAGAATTTAAAATTGTCACATAACCCGCACCTCCCTATTACCCGCAGTGGCGCGGATTTAATGCAAAATCAACAGATTACCCGCGGGTAATCGACCGGAAATTACGGTATGTAAAATTAGTATGTAATTGAGCTAGCTGATTGTTTTCTGTAGTGTGTAATGGTCACTGTTTCTTTCAATGTGCATTGCATTTTTAGTAAAAACTGGTGGTTAAGCTGCACCAATGTCTGTCAATCGTCTTGAGTTTCTTTCAGCTGCATTTGCACATGCACTGCTGTGGTCCTGTTCACTTAACAAAAGCTTAATGTCTGTCTGCTTGACTACACAGCCCAATATTTTTTTCATTAAGCCACTACTTAACCCTTTACTCCCTTACATCAATATGCATATTCTCCATACTACTCCCTGGACATTTCCTAGGGTTCTGGCAAGGAGAATTTGTTCAATAATCCAGAGCTTCTTTAGTTGGTGATCATCCCTTTTATTCTCATGACCTTAATGTTTAATTCAGGGATGATGTTGTAAGGAGAAATTAAATGTTAGTCACTCTAAGTTGTGTTGTTAATACTTAGATTACAAATGGAAATTCTAAAAAGGTGCTTGGAAAAAATGAGCTGGGTGAAACAACAACAACAATGAATAACTGCATATGCCGTAAACTATGAATAAGCATGCAAGACAACCTACAGATCTCAAAAACAGTAATCATAAAACAAAGGGAAGTTGCCTATTACACCTTACCAGCAAACTGCACAAGCTTTTTTTAATATTTATTATTTAAAAGCTTAAAGCATACCTGCTCAAGGATCTACTGTATGAATCACATTATTTTAATCTACAGTTTGAAGGTGAATGAAGGTGCATGAACAGTACTTCAAGTGAACCATGGAAGGCTCTGAATATCTCAATTCATTCTATTCATTGGTAATTTATGTTAATAACTGAGCTGTTACAACAAGATTATAGCATTAAAAAGCCGGTTTCAGTGTTAAATTCTGTCAATCTTCCTGACAAAGCGGCCAATGCCTAAACGCCAGCTTCCTTGAAACCCTTTACGGTATTTAATGATGCTTTTAACCTGTGCTGCCACACCAAATTACCTGTTATACTCCCCACTGATGCAGCACCATCACTTTTAAAACTTAACTGTCTCCTACTATTAATCCGTCATACATTTTTAATGACCTTGGCTCTGATAATTTGGTATTAAATCAAGACTAACATTCTCCATAAAGTAATGTTCATCTTTCTTCTCAAAATTAACCTCCCATCAGGAAAATTGATAAATATTGTAAAGAGAAATTACTAACTGGTCACTTTTGGTTGAAATGTATATGGAATCTAAAGTTGGTAGAGTCTCATAATTGAGTAAATGCCCATCCATTTGTAATAATTCAGAGAAACTGTCACATTACAAGTACATTAAACCTTTAACTCCACAAGTGACCAAGAGAGAATTTCTCATAAACATCAATACACATCATGTCAGATAAGATGAGGGCTAGGAGAAAAATATATCAATTAGATAATTAGTTGATCTGGAACAAATTTTGAACCGCTTTTGAGAAAATTTATATAGCTGACATAAAAGATACTGGCAACTTGATCTAGAAGTTAATTAAAGGGTTAAATCTAAAAAACAATCATAATAAAACTTACTGATGTGAAGGTTGAAGGAATCTTCTTGAGGTGAAGAAATGTGTTTTCTTTTAGCTCCTCAAAATGACAAAAGCTCACCTGGCTATACAGCAGTATGAACACTATAGTGAGGTACCACTTCATCTGCATATTCAATAAAAAAAAGTGCCAAGGTTAGCAGCAATTTGTGGTTTCTTTAAAACCTCTGTCAATAACATGACCTAACTAACAGTAGGCCTTTTTTTGCTTTGTGGACTTGTCAGCCTTTGCATGACAGGAACTCTTTAAGATCTCAAGTTCAGGAGAGTAGAATTTTAGGGGGAAGGAAAAACTGAATGATCAAACTAAATGTGGAAGAGAAGAGTTGAGGATGAACAGGAAGCAGATGGGTAACTGGAATGAGTAACACAGCTCTAAAAAAAGTGTGGAGAGGTGGCAAGGAGAGGAACAGAAAGAAAGGGGGTTATTGTGTGCTTGCTGAGGTCTTGAATATGGATAGCTTTGCCTATGCCACAAAGGTCTGAGGCAGAAGCAGCTCCCTGAGACAAGCTTAGGGTAACTCAGGCTGGAAAATATGAAAATGTTTGACTGCAAGAGTTGATAAACATGTCCAAAAACATCACTGTTTGCTGAGCTGTAGTGAAAATGTTACTAGATCCTTGAGTAAAGATAATAACTGAGCCACTAAGAATATTAACTGATTAAGGTAAGAATACTTCTCAGTCTTAAACTAGTTTTCTGGGTAGATATGGAAACATTACAACATGCCTTGTTTTGGAGGAATGTGTGGAACAGATCAGATTTCTATTGAACCATCCTCTGCTTTAAGAGATTCGGGTTCAAGACTTAGCTGTTTTAACCCTTGACCCCCTAACATCAGTATCCATATTCTTTATACTGTTCTCTAAACATTTCCTAAGGTGCTGACATGAAGAATTTGTCTAAAAATCAAAAGCTTTTTTTTGTTTGTGATCAGTTCCTTTATTCTCATGACCTTAATGTTTGAATCAGGGGTGATACAGTAAGGAGAAATTAGATGCCAGTCACTCTTATGGGTTAAAGGGTTCTTGGGGCAAGACACCTCACTCTCACCATGCCTCTCTCTACCCATGAGTATAATGGATACATTATATTATATCATACAAATGGATACATGTATTATACATATTATTTATATGAAACTTTGTTTAAAGATGACTCTAATATGCAGAATATAACTGAATAACAAAAAAAGACAGTACAGGTATAATTGAAAATGCTTTACTGTTACAATTTCAAATCAGCACACATTATTCCAGGAATCACTGCTCAAAGCTAAAAACCATCAGTTTAAATGCTAAAAACTGTTTCTTGGGCTACCCTATCAGATCATTTCAGTTCAAGTTGAGGAATTTGCAATGAGTGACTGCTACAGTAAAATTCCCTAGCTAGTTTCAGTCTCACTTGTGTTCATAGGATAAATTTAGCATGCATGTAGCAACATTTCAGCAGTGTTCAATATTTATTTAGGTGAAAAAGTCTTAGAAATTTGAAAAGTCTTTTAAAAAAGAGTACTCGTCAGGGACACATGATACTGAGTCGAAATAATCTTTCGTGCGTTCACATTTCCGGATTTCAGGATTGTATCAAATTTCTGTTAGCACTTAGACAAGCGAGACGGTTTCATTTCTAATTTGCATCCTAATTCACCTCATAATTTTCTATATTTGGTGTATTAATTCATGCTTAATAGAGAAATTGCACATGGAGACCAACGTTCGAAACGATAGTTCCGGCCAAGCGGAAGTTAAGTTGTAAAATGGTTCCTTCAGATTCTCGACACTCGTTCGTAAGTTCATCGACTTAACAAATTAAATACCGCTTCTTTTCTAAGAATTTCTTTCCCATGGAAAAGCCTCCACTTTCGCGAGGAAACTATGGAAAGACTATGAGATTAAAGAAAGTGAAACACTTTCGCTTCTTTAAAGAGTTTTAGTCGTAAATATTCCTTGAGGAAGTCTCGTGCATGAACTGCAATCAAATCAATCCGAAGCATTTTGACGAAATTGCACAGAATGGTCACAATATTTTAACGTTGCACCAGGAAAAATTCGATAATTGATTATTATTCAGGAACTGCACACCCAAATTTGGCTCGGACAGAAACTGATGAACTTTTCATTCAAGACAGAAGGACGCATTCAACTTGATCTGGTGAAATCTTAGGGGTAAATTAACTCCCTTGTCCAAATAAACTCCCAGATGTGAAGGTAGTTGGAAAATGCCATTAACTTGAAACCACCTACCTTTCTAAAGCTTCTACTAGCATTCACCGCAAACCCTTCAGTAGACCTCCAGCACACTCACTAACAGGAATTATGTGAGGGGAAAAGTATAGTTCCAAGATTAAGGCATGTGAAAACCTCGTGACTGCAGGTTATTTATAGTCTAGAGCCAGTTTCTCTCGTATCAGACAAAATTCCGTTATCAAGAATAGAACTCGTTTAACTTGGCAAAATTCACGCGAGCGAGAAGTTTGCCAAAATTCAGGCTTTCGACCTCCTTCGGCGCAATTCGTTGATGGTTCTTGGTCGTAGTGTTGAGAAACTCGACATAATGAATGGTCTCTCTGTAAAGCGGGTTTATTGTGCCGAAAACGAAGAGGGAATGTTGAAAATAAGAGAATGGAGTGTGGAGCTGAGACAGTGGGACAGTGGGACAGGAACGGGAGAGCAGGGAACAAAGCGGGGTACTGGGTACAGGATACGGAGACCAGCGAACTGAAAGTGGGGAGGGTAAAATTTACAAGTAAAAAACTTGAACAACTTTTGGTTTTAAGGTTACTTCCCACCTCCGGGTGTCCTTCGGGAAAAATTTTCGTACGCGCGCTAGTTTCACTAAATTCCTAGCAAAGTATACATCAGAAGAAAGCTTAATAACTGCAATTTACGATCAAAAATATCACTTTTCTTTAAAGTAAGTTTCGGGAACCGCTAAGGCGTGAAACAACTGAAGGTTCTTCTATTAAATTTATTGGGCATTGGATGCCGCAGGACGAGTAAAGTGGCTGCACAGTCTTATTCACAAGGCATCTATCAACAGAAATGAGTCAGGCGTTTTCGATATTCTGATTGGTTGTATAGATATCGGCATCTAAAGTTGAAGTAGCTAAAAATATGCGAGGCGTGTTGCGTAAATGGACGCCACGGGACAAATATTTCAAATATCAAAATTTCCCGACGCCTTTCGTTTGTCATTATTTCTAGAATGCTTTGGCGAAATTTAACGAAAATCGGTCAAATCTAAGGGTGCGTTCCGTTGGGAGAATCCGGATCAGGATTTCTGGTCTGTGGTGTTCCTTTCTAGGAAATCCATTTTCAGATCAGTGATCTATCAAATCCACTCTGGACAAGGATTCATCAGATCACTGATCTGCGTGATCTAAAAATGGATCAATGGATCATTGATCCAACGCGTTTCTTTGGGCGAAGGATTAAATCCATCGTTTGAGTTTACCATGAAAAAATGTGCTTCTAATGAATAGTGCTAATTAGAAAAATTGTGCGCGCTAAAGGCCCGTGTAGTAAGACGAGCCATTCAGGGAAGAGCTCAATAACCCACGTGCATACACAAGTCTTAAAATAGCGCACTTTTTTGAATTCTCTGAGAGCTCGTCTAAAACTTCGTTCCTTTCATGCATCGTGATCTGTGTGATCTTGGATCACAAATCCTAATCCGGATCCTCCAAAAGGAACGCACCCTAAACTCCGTTCCTTTCATGCACCGTGATCTGTGTGATCTTGGATCACAAATCCTAATCCGGATCCTCCCAAAGGAAGCACCCTCAAACGATGGAATTAAAACAGAAGTATTGATTACGATATGGATAGTTGGGAACCTTGAATGCCTGCGATCAGTGGCCTATCGATTTAACATTACAAAATCGATTTTATTTCGTGTTTATCGCAGAATGTGTGGAGCGATTCCCAACAATCTTTCCGGTCAATACATGAAGTACCTACTAGTTAGATATTGAGCACCGCTGGGCAAAATGATTAATTTCGGATCCGTCGTCCAAAGGAACGCGTTGGATCAGAGATCCATTCATCCGTCTTTAGCTCACGCAGATTGGTGATACGATTGATCCTTGTCCAGAGTGGATTAGATAGATCACTGATCTGAAAATAAATTTGCTCGAAAGGAACGCCATATATCAGAAACCCTGATCCGGATTCTCCCAAAGGAACGCACCTTAAAACTCCGTTCCTTTCATTAACCGTGATCTGTGTGATCTTGGATCACAAATCCCAATCCGGATCCTCCCAAAGGAACGCACCCTAGATACTCTATAAATTCGCCCAGGTCCGACATTACGACACCTTCCTGATATACGAACTATTATTTGAAAATACGTTAGGTCCAGCTCAGTCAAATAAAAGAAAAATCGATTTTTTCGGCCTCTGAAGGAGGGATTTAACCTTCATAATACAAATATAGCTCTTTGCACGTTATTCACTTTCAGCAACTTCAAAATAAGTGTCTTTTCTACTGGAGTTTCAGGTTCTCAACTTTTTCTACAAACCCTAACAGATGAAGAGGACATTGAGATGAACTTAGAAAACAGTAACTTGCTAGTTCGGTGACAAATTTTGCATTTTTTGTTTAATAACCAAGCTGATGCAATGAACCTAAAGAGTAGTATTGTGATACTCACAATTTCCAATTTGAAATTCTTACACAGATTGCTACCAAGTCTAGAAAACGATTAGTACAACAGCTCAGAACAAACCAGCACAAGTTAACCACTGGTTGTAATTCGGATTGACTTTTAATCTGCACACGGCAGAGAGATCTGATACATCGTATACGGAAAGTTGAAGTCCAGAAATAAAAAATAGAGAATGGAAATCCAGGAATTGTTATTTTGGAACAGGGAACCAGAAACTGGTCTATAATGTTCTATACAAAAACATTGAAAGAACCTTGAAGCAAGACGAGTAAGAAACTCTGTGAGACCTGGGCAGCCATGAACAATACATAGTAGGACAAAATAATCTTCCCTTTAGAAATCACAACTTTGGGAAAAAGAGAAACCATGGGATCACTGTTTCCAGAAACAAATTTTATGTCATTATATCTAACGATACTTCTACCAAATGAATACACAAGCTGGTTAAATAGCAACCAAACTTGTCTAAAATCCTTCTAATTCAGAAAACGAGGAACATCTAGTCTGACTGATAACATTGTCTAGATGATGAGGAGCACCTTTGTCTGAAAATAATTTTTATCAGCCAACCAGTAACTTACTAACTAAAAAACTGAAAAAATACAGGATCAAACCAAGTAGTAAAAAAGCAAATCCACGGACAGGTAGATATGCATACGATTTGTTCAATTTTTCATAGAGTCTTTTCACTTGTGTCTCAGTATTCTCCCTGTCGGAAGAATTGTCAATGATATAAGATGCTCTACGACATTTTTCATTCAGTGATATCTGAGCATTTATTCTCTGTTCAGCATCATTTTGTGTGAAGTTATTTCTTTCCATCAAACGCTTCAGTTGAGTGTCTTTGTCACTAGAGGGAAGAGAAATTAGGATCTAGGTGATAGGGAAATTAAGACAAATGTTTAACTCTTAATGCAAAGATGTGAATATTTATGATCTTGCACAAAGGAATATGCAGCTGGAGGGGAGGATTATGAGAAATAAAACAAAATAATCAAATTAAACAGCTTATAAGGAAGAAAACCTGAGTTTGCTATTTCCTTGGCCTTAAAGCAACCCTTCACACCCTAACATCAGTATACATATTCTCCATACTGTTCTCTATACATTTTATAAGGCACTGGCAAGGAGAATTTATTTAACAATCAAGAGTTTCTTTAATTAGTTTTTCATGGTGAATATTTCCTGTGAACTTAATGTGTGATTCAGGGGTAATATTGTGAAAAGAAATTAGATCCTTGACACTTTTTAGGGATGAAATATATCAGATAAAACCTCTGTGACAATTTGATCATGTACATTGTATTATTGATGCCAATCACAATGAATAACCAATCACAGAAATCAAAGATCAAGGGCTCCTGACCCAATTCAAAATTCTATGTAATTCCTACATGTTTTTATATTCAATTTGCACCAGCAGTTATTTCGTTTTTGTTTTATTGTGACGCATTGTAGTAGGCCAAAATCTTAATTTCTCCAATCTGTTTGGCTAATAACATGCACTTAAATGCTCCTGACCAGCTATTTACAATATGGACCCCAATTCAGAATTTTTCTGAGCAAAGCAGGAAAAAGCAAACAAGCAGGAAAAAAAAATGAGCAGATAAAAAGGACAAGGTATTTTGTACCTGTGTTGGTCCATCTGTATTGAAAACCTTTGCCCTTGGTCATGAGTACAACCTAAGGCTGAAGACTGAGGGCTGTATTCAAGGCTTTTTTTTCCCTATATACAGACCTCCCACCCAGTAAATTGGGCTGAGCTGCCTCTAATATCAGGGAGGAAAACTAAAATGCAATTATGTGGCATACACATAATTACTTACCAGTAAACTACAACAACTTCTTTCATCAGATACAAGGCAATCCCAGTCTCAAACATAAGTGGCAGGTCAAGTATTACAAACTTTTCCCCTACAAAGAATTTGAAAAATACTTTCAGTAGAAGTACAATATTGGGATACAAATTTTGTAGGACATCTTAACTTCCTTTGTGAAAACATAGTGAAAAATGGGATTTAAGAGGGACAGCAATGATTGGGCCTGATTCTAGTGGTTGTCTGAGACAGGTCCATTCTTCTGGGTAGGAGTGCCAGCTCAAACATAAACTGGAAATTGCCCACACTGTAGACAGTCATGGACTGGAGAATAAGTGAACAGAAAAAATAACTCAAAGTGAATTCCCTCATTTCAAGTGTAACACTACATGTACTTGAGACAGAGGCAATGAATCTTGCCATCAGTGTATTCTTGAATTTCAGGGTACCCCCCTGAAAAAAAAATTTTGATGAGTGTTTAACAAGACTTATGAAACTCTAACTTTTAAAAAAACCTGACATTTTATTGTATTCATCTATTAAGAGTCCATTTGCAGGCTAAGTGTCACACTTTATCTTATGTGTACATGCAGTTAGTCTCAGTTTGTGTAGTGCAAAACAATCAATAATGTTGCAGCTGACCTAATTCCATTAACAATTAAAGTTTGGATCTAACATGCACTGTCATTGGTGGAAAGAGCATGCTCTATCAGAGTACAAAGCATAGAGCTGAGCTAAAGCTGTCAGGTCATCTACCAAACTGTACTATGTCCAACCTTTTCTGGGAATTCTCTCAAGCCTTTTTTCATTGATTGAATGTTAAATTTCTAATCAAGTGAAGTGGGGAGAAACAGAAGATATACTCTTTGTTTCTCACTACACTTCTTTTGTGCTCTAGCTGCTTCCTACATGCTTTACAACAGAAAAGAGCACAATTGAGGCTTCTCTATTTGTTAAGTATGGGAAATAGCAGAGGTTATGAGTCAGTGACACAGTGGCCTAGATTTAAATCCAGACCCTTTGATGTCTGACCTACAAACAAACCATTGGCTAACAATATCTCTCATACAACTAGCAAAGTTTTTAAACTAAAACAAATTACACATAGTTCTTAGATGTCTATCTAGGAAAACATAATTCTGTAAAAAACTTGTACAATGGTGGCTAATTACTGGAAGTCATTGTTGTAAAAGAACAGATCTGAAAGAGGAATATAAATCAGAGCTGATGGCAAGTACATGTAGCTTCTAAATTTTTCAGATTAAATTGCAGGCTTCACCCATAACATCAGTCCTCAATTGATATAAATATAGATCTATGCTAAAACTCATTGACCAACACTCATTGACCATTGAGCATAAGTACAATCATGTACTTTCAACAACAAAGTAGAATTAATCTCTTTGGTGTTTGTGCAAGTAATGTTTAACTTATATGATTCACAATAACAGGTCTCCCAAAATTACTCAATAACAACCTTGCAAGAAGTAAAAAAATAAACAGACCTGAAAAAAAATTCCTCAACAAGGTCCATAAAATTGAATGATAAATAGCAGGATGAGTGCACTTGTTCAGAATACGTCTTTTGGCATCATCTCCAAAGATGATTTTTCCAAGTTTCTCCCTGTCAATCTCCTCATTGGAAAGTAAAATATCACTTCCAAAGTTCTTTACTATAGCCTTCCATGCTGGCCTGTGAGGCTCAACAACTAAAAATTGTTGAAGAAAAGTTTGTTACCTTCTCATGAAAAAAAGAACTCACTAGTAAAATCAAGTGTGAATGCAAGGTTGTGAAATAATGAGAAGGTTTAACCCTTTACACCCTAACATCAGTATGCATACTCTCCAGACTGTTCTTTATACAATTCCTGAGGTGCTGACAAGGAGAATTTGTTGGCCAATCAAAGGGTTCCTTCCATGGTGACCATATCCTTAATTCTCATGACCTTACTGTGTGATTCACAAGTGATATTGTTGGAAGAAACAAGATGTTCGTCACTATTAGGGTTTAAAGGTTTAACTGAATGAGGAGGGGTTGTGAAGGAGATACCTTCCCTGTATATTCCAATAATACTAACCAGGGTCATGGTCCATACGCTAAGTTATGTACCAAGAGGAAAAAACCAAGTTCTACATCTCATTGTACCAACCAAGAAAACAAGGTAATAAAGACATTGATTATATCTCTGGGTTGAAATAGAGGGAGAAGATTTCAATTAAAAAAAAAACCTTTGAATTAAGGAGGCTATACAATGAAATATTACCAACTAAATTGCCCAGCACATACTCCCATAAAGTTGTTGTTTGATCAGTCCTCGAGCTCGTCAAAATACGGCACAATTCGTAAAAATACTCAAAAATACTACAAACGAAAACGTCTAATAAGATGTATTTATCTCATCTTATCTCCCATTATGGTTTTAAACTATATGTTTAGTGAATTAAATTGCATGCTTTCAATTATCTCACCTTCCCGAGCAATGTGGTCTGCATCCACGACCGGACATCCTAGATCTTTAAGTAGGCTTGAAACTGTGCTTTTACCAGTCGCTATCCCACCTGTTAAGCCAACGATAAACATGGCTCCCAACAAGCAACTGTTAGCTACCTGTTCGTTTGGTATTTATTTCGCCATAATAAATTTGAATTGTCTGGGGTCAACTGGGGCGAGCTGCGACTACCATCACTTATCACCCCTCTTCCCCAGGGGTTTATCTGTTGTCAAGTGACAGTCACATGCATCATACCGTGACAGTACTGCGTGACAGAACAACATGGCGTCCACAACAGGAGGAATTATTCTTGCGATTATCCTTTCAAGCAGTCTTCATGCTACGTTGCAATCTACATGCAGTCATTTTCAAGGACCTCCTCTACCGAACAGGCCCTTTATCACAGTTTGGCATACTCCGACAGAGCTGTGCAAAACGAAATGGAACGTTACTCTTGATTTTAGTGCATTCGATTTCGTAGTGAACCCTGACCAAACGTGGTGTGGAGAGCATATCGTGATATTTTACAACTCACAGCTGGGTTTGTATCCTTATTATGATAGCAATGGGAAAGCAGTGAATGGAGGCCTTCCACAGGTAAATTCATCGCTACAAAAGTACTTTACTTACTTTTTGTCTGGATAACATCTAATTCAGAGTCATATGTAGACGTCGACCTTGGAGCCTGGAAGCTTATAAGTATGTTGTAACTTCGCCGTTAGACTCTTGCTCTTATGCTCCCTCTGAGAAGCCCCCTTTCCTCCCTCCCCTCATCTTTGATCGGTGAGCTCTACACTAGTTACAAATTACGGACTGGTTAGTATATTCGAAAATGGGGTAAAGAAATTTGAGCGTTGCAGGTATATATGCATGACTGACAATAGACTCGGCGAAGCCCCACAATATTTTAATGCAAAAGGGTGAACTTTTGACTGAACGAGCTGAAACGTAAATGCACGCCGAATTCGCCTCAGACTGTTCAAAATTGTGTTTCCCGAGTGCTAAACATGCAAAAATTTCCCGTGGAAGGAAACCTCTGACCCCTTTTCACCCCTGACCGCAGTAGCGCATACAAAAAAGAGTCTTGTATGTTTGATGTGGCTAATATTGAAAAATAAATCTCTTTCCCTGGACGTTTTGATAAATTTCTCAGTAGACCGTTCTGCTTCTTTAAGCTGGCCAACATGACCGCACACCTCACCATGGTTGAAAAAGACATTGCAGAAGTGATAAAAGATCCAGACTTTCAAGGCCTTGGCATAATTGATTGGGAGTTCTGGAGACCAATATTTGACAGAAATTGGGAAAAACTTTCTATCTACAGGTTTGAGTTTGTATAATCATTGTTTGCGAACGTGGGGGATGTTATGACAAAATGGCTCACAACGAGTTCTGCTAAGCTAGACAAGGATAACTACCACTCAATTTCAAACTAAGCATGCGTGTTATGTTTATTTGTTTTCGTGTGTTTCTTTGTTGGTTTTTGTACTTATAATCCATGAAATATTTTTGCTCGCGCGTTATAAGTCTAAATGCATCACGTAATCGAATATGCCCTAGCTAAAACTGGGGAATATCCAAAGAGATACTCCAAATGATATTCCTCAATTTTCAAACCTTACGTCTACTAGATGAAAGCGTTCATTTCAAATTTAATTCAAGATGAAGGAACATTTAGCTATTGTTACACGAGAAGGAAAATGTTTGCTTGTTTGTAAAGTCGTACCAGAGAAAGCTGAAAAGTAAACATTCCACGAGCAAACTGTAAGCTTATCGTAAAAATTTTACAATTGGCGCGAAAATGTGTTCGTAGATTTGTCCCTGGACACTATATGCTCCTAGAGGCTCACAGTTCTCCTCGAGCTTCGTAGCTGTTCTGACTAAGGCTTTGTTTGCAGAAATAAGTCAATAGAGGTCGTCAAAGAAAGACATCCTTCGTGGTCAGACAGTCTTATTGAAGAAATAGCCCGCGTAGAATTTGAAACTGCAGCTCAACAGTTTATTGAAGGCACCTTACTGCTCGCTCAAAAACTTCGTCCGAAGTCTGCTTGGGGTTTATACGGCTTCCCAAATTGTTACAACGACAATGACGCAAAACCTTACACCTGTAGTAAACAGACTATGCAGATGAACGATCAACTCTGGTGGATGTTTGAGTCTAGTTCAGCATTGTTTCCTTCAATTTACCTTTACAATGACAAGTCCCGAAATAACACGCTATATGTGAAGTATAGATTATTAGAAGGCTTTAGACACTCAAAGAAACTAGATGGTCATTTCATTCCTGTCTATCCTTACGTTCGCATAACCTATCCAGATTCGCAGCTATATCTTAATGAGGTGAGTAATACCCCTTTTTTGTTGTTCTTGTTTTTTTTTCTCTTACCAACGACTGAAGATCTCACGCATTCAGAAGTGAAAATATTACGTTGAGGACGTCGAAGATGAACGCGATTTCAATGTCTTTACTAGTGTAACCTTAGGTTGAGGAATATATTCTTTTCCATTAAGGGCGTTTCTGGAGGGAGAAAGGGGAAGTAGCGAAGGGGCTTTGACTTTCCCCTATTTTTGGCTTCTTTTGGAGTGAATACCAATGCGGCGTTTTTGTAAAAAAGGCGAGGTCGTGCCCTTACCTTAATATACCAGTTTGTTCTTTCTAAATTGTGAGGATTCGTTCAGTGGAAAGAGCATGAAAGTGGTATTTGGAAAATTGCAAAAAGACCTCGTAAAACGTAGGGTTATGGTGAGATTGTTTGCATTTTGCCGCAACCGAAAATCCATCAGGTTAAATTCGTTGCATTTTATGTATTTGTCTGCTTTCATATGAGGTGACGGGCGAGCAAGAGTGGATTAGCCTGTACTTCATTTGCCAGGCGGCCGTACTTACCCCGGTTAGCGAGACAAAATGAATAACGTGTATTCTTTAATATTTCATTCGAGTATCGAGATAATGCTTACATATAAGAAAGTTTAATGTCCAGTCACCCCCACCATTTCATGCGATACACTAAATTGTTGGCACATAAAAGGGTGATGAATGTAGATCTCGAAAACTGAGCCAGACCGTTTGAATCGCCGGCTCAAATGAGCAAAGCCTAAGTTTTTCGAGCGTTCTACGTCTACTTGTCAATCTCTTTTGTGCAACAGGCCGATATTGTGGCAACAATTAGCCAGTCAGCGGAGCAAGGAGTCGCCGGTGTTGTTATATGGGGAGACCATCTGACAGAGAGGACAAAAACCGACTGTTTAGAGATTAAGACCTACATTGATAATTTTCTGGGACCAGTGATTAGAAACCTCACCACAATCACTCAAGCCTGCAGCCAAGAGTTCTGCAACTCCCATGGAAGGTGTACCTTCCAGCTGACACCTGTTGAGGGTATTCACTCCTCATTTCATGAATTTGCAAAGGATTTGACAAATCAGTGGAAATTTCAGAGCTGCAAATGTTACAATGGATGGAGTGGGGCGAACTGTGACCATCAAAATTAGAGCCTGACTAGAACTTACCACTGAATATTTTATATTTCATTTTGTACAAATTTTATTGTCTTTAAACAGTATTCACGCAATCTCATGCGCTGATTTTGATGACCAGTTTTGCTACGAACGCTTTCACTCTCAAATCCTACACTAGTGGGGACGGACCATCCGAAAAGCTAGGATGGAAGTGGGGGAAGCCGGGGGTACTCTGTTGATAAGTGATCTTTTTAGACGAAAGCACTTGCAGGTTAACTCTTGGTCCTATACGATAATTAATCGTAGTTATCGTTCGTTTAAGTGACAAGTCCCCCTTTTACGCTTCAAGTGTTATTAAGTGAATTCGCAAACAGGTCATCCATTGACAGAGTTCGCAAGATGATTGACGGCTTCATGAAACGAAATAATTTTTTAATCCAAAGTTTGCGCGTTATCTAAATGCGCGATACGGTTATAGTATGGTCTTCCCATGGACATTTCACTTTTGCAACGTGCACGGCATAACGCACCAGAACGTAGTTGAGTTTGATTGACACTGCACATGGTGAAGGGAGAGTTTGTTTTTTTCCCAAGAGAAGGTGTGGGAGAATAAAGAACGGTTGTGTTTATGGAAAGAAAGCCTGTGATTGTGATTTTGCGATACTAAACTTCTATTGCCACAGAGGCATTCCCGAAAACTGTTTTGTTGAGAAGAGTTTAGGTACTGTTTATATTGCAGGCCGCGCACAAACAGAAATGATAATGATAGTAACAAAGATCCATTAACTGCGTCGAGTTACTTAAAAAAATGGACTATAATAAGTACAGCTTTAGATTTCTTCAGGTGCACAGTTGACGCTAATGTGAGAAGTCTGTTCAGTGAACAAGCCATAATTTCTCCTCACAATATCGATACACTAGCAAGCAGATAAGTGATGAGAATTAAAAAAAAATATCAATTAGGGGACTATTAGTTGATCCAATACCAACTTCTCCGGACGAATATCATGAGAATTTTATTGCAGACAGTAAGGAGAAGTACTATTTAGATCTTGGGGGTCACTGGGCAATGGTTTTAAAAAGGGTTTGTTTGAGTTGCTTGTTCAGTATTTGCAGTGTGGCTTTCCAACAAATTATTTTTTGTTTCAAACATTTTGTAGAATAAGAAAATAAGAATTCATTCTACATTTATTTACGATTTCTACATTGTTCTCTCATTTTTCTTGCGTCACGCGCGACTGTTCGAATCAAACATCTACCACTGACTATGGACAGTTGCAAAATAATAGCTTCTGACTAACTGAGCGCGTGGGCCATGCAGTGGAAATTTTTTGCCCGAGGTCGTTGACCAAAACGACCGAGAGCCAATATTCTTCGGTTCGACTCGAGCGAGCGATGTTAGTTAGTAGTTCAATGTGTCACTCGGACTAAATTTGTTTAATTTGAATTTGCAGGATTACGTGACCAAGCATACACGGCTATGACCGTTTCTCTAGATCTGCACATGTATCTTACCGAAGAGCTTTACCAAAATTAAAATATGGTCGACTTCAACCTCCTGATGTTGTTGCTTTTTTTTGTTTTAAAGCAAAAGAAACATTTTCTCAACGCGAGCTTCTTTTAATATTGGTTTTTTGTGTCGAGAGTTAAAGTAGCAATCTGCGAGGTAAGGTCATTCGACAAGCAGGTAGTATCTACATTCGGTGCAATTAAAAAGAGTTCCAAAATTGCCTCTCAAATTCCTCATTAACATATATAGGAAGTATAGCAATAATTTTCGCAGGTGAGAAGCAATTACAGCAACTGTAGAAAAGAAGCATGAAATAATTCAAGCTTCAACTAGTGCTGCGCGGGAAGCACGGCTTTGTATCCTGTAGAGGCCTGAATTTTTTCAGCCTTCTTTCCTGCAATTACTAAAATCACAGTTCACCTGCTTTACTTGATTTTCATCCGCAGGTTAAATGAAATTTAATTTAATTGAAAAAATTATGATCAACACTCGTATGATAAACAGGAAATTACATGTCCACTTGTGCACGCAACTCTATCATTTCGTGTTGATATCATCGCTTATAAAATTCGTATCCACTGGTGGCAATGTGATATCAGCCGTATTTCTAAATAGATATTTTGAAATACCAGAATTTCTTCTGTTTGGAAAACATGTCATCTTCGCCGCGTGTACCGAACGTATTAATTATATCATCACGTGTGAAGATGGCAATTTCGTCATACTAAACAGTCATCATTTTTTTTTGTGGAAAAATTATGAACATTACTAAGGATGAAGGAAAAGATTTGTTGAATTCTCTTTCTTTACTTTACGTCGGACGTTGAAGCTTTTCTGCGATCTCAATTAAAATGCAGGTGATCTCTGTATTTGTGTTTTTCAGTTTTTAATTGTCTCAGACTTAAAACATGTGACTGAAGCAAACGCTATAAATAAAAAGTCACATGGCTGTTTATAGATATGAATTTTTATTTTTTTCTGAAGCCTCTTAGCGGGCCGGAATCTTTAATCCTTGATCCGGTTACGTTGGCTAATCGCGAACTAGTAACCGGCTGCGACCAGCTTTTTAAAGTATGCACCTCGGTTCAAAATTCTTTCCGCAAAATTCGTGGCAAAGGAGAAAAAACCAACATCGGCAGAAAAGTAGAAGAGTTACTTGGCATTTTTAGTCAGTCCTTATGGGAAATTCAGAGCCCTTGGTCTTGAGTTCAGCCCTTGGCCGAGACTTCAGGCACTGCTTTTACCCATACAGACCCCCTGCCCATTAAATAACATATATTTATTTTATTTATCTTCTCGTGTCAATAGTTATAGCTTCCTTCTGTTGCCTCCCCCACTTGGGAGAGACAATGATCTATTATAAAGAGAAATTTCAGTTTTCACCTTTAAATTCGGGAGAAACGTGAGCACCAAAAGTTTCTCTGACAAGAAAGTCAAAATTGACGCTTTACTGATATCACAAACCATATTTAACTTCTCAAGAACCAACACAGAAGTGAGACATCTCTAGGGTGTTACTTCGGTAACACTGAAAGTATTTGGGACATTAAATAGACTGTGAATAGCTAGCCTGATGATATCACGTTCAAGTTATATTTCAAGTTTAGTTCAATATTTTGGAAAAGGCATGGCAAAAAGTATCGCCCATAAAGTCCAACGTGCTTGGGTTTGCCAGAGGGAAAACAATTTTATCGCCAAACGCTATATCTCCGCATCAAGAACGTGTTGTGTTAGAGTAAATCGCTGCTTGGTTTTTGTCAACGAAATAAAACTATGAAAGTGCCACCAGCCTTCTGTAGGGTCTCGATGAGGTGATGGCTTTTATGGCTAACTGTTAATTTTTTGGCCAATTTACGGCTAACAGTTCACATTCTTCGATTGTGGTCATCAGAAATCTTTTTTTGCGTTTAATTTTTTTTTACGACCAATGGTTAAAAATGTGTCGATTTTTTCCCCTAACCGCTAATTTTTTTTTACCGTTTTACGGCCATCGGTTGACCCAATTAAGCCCCTCTTTCTGACATCAAATATTTTGGAAAGCCTCAGCAATGTCCCTCTGATTCATTTTCACACAATGCAGAGAAAAAAAGCTCTTTTTTTCTGTACTGTTAGACGGTGGCCACAAATTGAATCCTTCTTGATAAAACCTTCCCAGGCCTGCTGATGTTCTCTTTGTCATCAAAAGCTGTTATAGATGAGATGGCCCCAACTTTGCCCCCACTTGAGTCTTTCCTCAAAAACCGCTTGCATAGTGGTAATGAACTTCTAAGACTGGAGCGGAATTTCTTAAACAGTAAGAAGTAAATAAGTGGGTTGTAACACGGGGCTGTTTTAGCAAAAAGAGCAGGTAAGGTGGCCACCAAGGGAGATATAGCAGGCTCCGGTGCTCGTATGATGGCATAAAGCGATACAGCGGCATACGGTGTCCATGCGAATAAGAAACAAAATGACATAATGCATGCCATTCGAGCGGTTCTTGATTCTGCTAAAATAATTTCTAGAGTTGGAGCAGCGCACTCTCCCCAAATATTATGCGCATTTTGAGTCATTCTTTTCACGTTGCGGTAGATAGAGCAGTATGAGGCAACCATGGTAATAAAAGGAGCTAAGAAGAAAAGAACGAAGATGCACCAAATGTAAGCAACAGCACTTGGATCAGAACTTTGCCAATCAATCGAGCAAACCGAGCGTCCTCCCTCAGGGGCATACCCTGACCAGCCAATCAGAGGCAAGCTGCTCCAGATTAGCGCAAACAACCAAAGTCCAACAATGATGTATTTTAACTTGTTGAAAATGGAAAATGAGAAAGAAAACTTAATTACAATGGCGCGCTCGATGGCGAAAGTGGCATGGTGTAGCATTGTGCCAAATGATAAAAACGCCACAATGAAGCCGTAACACGAACAGGTCGTTCCAGTAGTTTGCCAACTTTTTGATAAAATGCCAATAACTCCCAACGGATATGCTACCACTGCTTGTATCCAGTCGCCAATAGCTATGCTAAGAATAAGAATGTTTGAGTCCGAGCGAAGGGAGCTGTCCTTCGTGAATACAAAAAGCACAAGAGTATTAAAAATGAATGCTATTATAGCGAGGACAACATACACGCTGGCAATTGCGTAATAGACCTGTTCACCAAGTTCTTCTGTTGCTTGTGAATCCTCAGTCCCATTTCTGACATTAGGTATCACTTTTTTTGTTGGAAGGCTCATGATGTGTCGTACCTAGAAAGGAAAACAGAAACATGAAGTATAAATTCACTGCTTCATATTTTCGTCTTGCGTTTATCAATACTTACACTTAATACTGCCCAAAGACCCTCCTAGGAAACGGCAAACAAAATCTTGCATTCATGTGTATATTCGAAAGGGGATTCTGTGGCAAGAAAGAATTTTATCTATTTGGTAACTATGAAAAAGTAGACCTTAATTGCAATATGGTGAAACTAGGAAGAAACTTGGAAAACTAATTCAATGCTCTAAATATGCAAAAAAGATATTAATTCAAATGGTAACTACGCCAAGGGAGATCTTACTTAAATATGGTAACTATGAAAAATGAAATATTTGTGACTAACGTCTGACAATTTAAATTACCATACCATCTTCATATGTATAGACGTTTGTTTAAACTGATTTGTATATATCCCAACGAGACTAACATGTCGATGGTCAACAGGGTAAATTAGTATTATCACAGTGAATTGATAACGTAACTTGGCCACCGTTAAGAGTCTAAAAACTGACGTTTCGAGCGTTAGCCCTTCGTCAGAGCGATTGGAGAAATCGTGGGTTGTGTGTGTGTTTATATGCGGAAAATGGAGCTACGCTATCGGTGAGACGAGAAAACAAGAATAAATTAGAATAAGAGAGATGGCAGAGCAATAAATTAATTGAATGAAAAGCGCTCGTTGTTAGGGAAAGGCCGCAAACTGCCATGTGCTGCTGAGAATGTTTAGGGAAATAAAAGTGTCTAGCGACTGGTTTGGATGCGTCCTTGTCATTTCTTTCTACATCGCGAAGATCAATTTGTTGATCGATAGTCAGCACAACAAACGACGATTTTGTTGGGCGCGGTGGTGGCCCACTTGAACGACAGAAACAGGATAGCCAGGCAACCTCTCAACTGCGGTGCTGCGTCGGTGGGCGAGTATAAGAGATAAGAGTGTCTTGCGACTGGTTTGGATGCGTCCATGTCATTTCTTTCTACGTTGCGAAGGTGTTCTCGGAATCGGTCAGCTAGTCGTCTTTCTGTTTCATCATGTAGAAGAGCAAGTTATGAGGTAAAATGTCATTGGCGGAGGTGCAAAGAGCTCCCACACGTGAATTTTGTCAGGTGCGCGAGGTAGACAAAATATGTAAATAAAATGAAAAACGAGGCCCAAGATTCACCTTGTTACTTTCTGTGTTCATCTTCGCATCCATCACAGGTCAAGAATTCCATATCTTTTACACAGATTCTCAGACTTCGTCGTTTATGTAGTGACGACTATATAGACATCAAAAGTAACTGAGGGCAACGGTCTGTGCACCAGTGTTTACTACAAACCAACAGATTTACATAGTTACTTGCTGTATTCATATTCGCATTCATCACACGGCAAGAATTCCATACCTTTTTCACAGTTTCTCAGACTTCGTCGTTTACGCAGTGTCGACTCCGCAATGTGCCAGTTTTTCGATAAACGTGGCTATCCTGTTTCTGTCGTTCAGGCAGGCCGCCACTTCGCCCAACGAATTGATCGATAGCTAGTAGTACAACAGCTGAGAAGGAAAATTTTGATCGCATTCCATTCACTCTCACATTTCACCCTCACAACCACGCAGTTAAATCTATTATTCTTAAAAACTTTAAATTACTCCAAAACGATTCAGAAACTAGTATTATCTTTTCGCAAACTGCACTAATTTCATTTAAACGCGACAAAGCATAGCCAACTTTTTTGGTCAGAAGCTCATTTCAAACCAATAACCAACCTGGAACTTTTAAATGCGCTCGCTCACGTCTTTCATTAACAACGTAGAGAAAATGTCTGGACCCAAGAGATCCATTAAGATTACTGATCATTTTACGTGTACCTGCGCTAATGTCATCTACTGCATAGTTTTCACGTATTGTAAAAAGTTATACATTGGTGCAACAGGAAAACGACTATAGGTGACCGACTCCGAGAACACATTCTGACAAGGACGCATCCCGCAAACCAGTCGCTAAACACTTTAATGTCTATAACCACTCTAAGTAGCATATGGCAGTTTGCAGCCTTTCCCTATATCTAGACATTTAGGAGAGCCGAAAAACTCTAGAGAAAAAATTTGTCTTTCAAATCGGCACTCTTACTTCCCACGTGAACAACGACTGCTTTTCATTCAGCTAACTTATTTTTAGAGAAAGGTGATTTTCGTCGTGTCGCGAGCGTGGGACAAAGAAAAAATCGTGAGTCCACCACGAGGTTTCCTCATGGGGACTCAGAATTTTTTCTTTTCCCCACGCTCGCGACAAGACGAAAAACATCTTTTGTGACTGCGGCAATCGTAACTTCTCAACACCACAATTACTGATAAAATAGGTGATTTATTGACGGTGAACGATGTGGGTTGAAACTTAAAAATAATAAATGAATACAAAATTACAACAATTGATTAAGTAAAGGTGATAAGAAAGAAATACACTGAGCCGACTTGAAACGACAACACTTACATTGTTACGATTACTGCAAAACTGCGCTTGACGAAAAAACACTATCCGAATACGAAATGAAGAATGAAGGAACTACTTGAAAGCGAACTGCGACTAGCGCGACAACCGAAAAGAAAAGGCCTTTAACAGAGAAAACTAAGTTTATATACGCACGAAAAACTAAACTGAAATTAATGCATGCGAAAACGATTAACTGAAAGTGTAATTGATGCCAATAATTGCGAAAGAAACATAATGAACGAAAGTATGTGATATGGAAAACAACAGAAGCTAACTAACCGGTGAAAATACACTAATAGACAACGAGGAACAGTAACAACACAAAAAAGACACCCTAATTAATGATTGAATACATTCCGCACGCTAAGATCTTACATCTTCCTCTATTTCTTTACCGAGCCCAAAACCTGTCATCTCTCTTATTCTATTTACGAACTTATTCTTGTTTTCTCGTCACTATATTCTTACCAATAGCGTAGCTTCATTTTCTGCATATAAACACACAAACAACCCACAACTCCTCCAATCGCTCTGACGAAGGGCCAACGCTCGAAACGACAGTTTCTAAACTCTTCTCGGTGGCCAATTTACGTTATGAACCCAACTGATAATACTAAATTACCCTTTTATACTCTCCTACCGACGCACCACCACAGTTTCTTCAGAAACTTACCCCCTGTATTCATATTGATGGTCTACTTGTCTTCTTATGCTCCGCCTGAAGGTTAGAAAGCCTCAAATATTTAGTGCTGGCACTCGTTGAACTTAACAGAATATCTCTCAAAAAATTACGACTAAACATAACGCCTTTTGCGGGGGTTTCAATAAAAGCAGTCAGCGGTCAATTGGGGTCCATAAGATCTCTTACTGCCATCTCTTTAGCTAACAGACAGTTTCTCATGTTTGGGTTTGACCCTGCAGCCAATTTCAGGGTACAGCCGTCCATTATACCATCGGCAGCCGCTTACGGAAAAAAGTTTTGAAACCTCTGCTGTTGTATGAGGATGCATAGTTGCTTTTCCTTAATTTGTCGTTAATTTTAATACCAGAGGAATTATACCTTTCTGAAAGAAGCACTTACCACGGGCATGCAGCTGTCATAACCATTGACCTTTCCATGATCACTTTGTGCCAATAATGAAACGGCAATGATGAAATCAAAAGAGACGAGCTCAAGTTTTGCCAGCCTTACCTTTACGAATGGTTCGTGTAACCTGATTGGTTCGTCTACTGTTAGTATTACAATTGGTCCTCAGTGTCACGTGTAAATCGTTGGTAACGGTTCATCAATTTTAATCCGTCAGTTGTTCTGTTCGGTTCTTCAGCCACGTTTTAACATATCTGAACAATGAAAAAGTACGTTGTTTCAAGTAATCCTGACACGGATTTTGATAACCAGTTTTGATACGAACGCGTTACTCTCAAATCCTACATAACTATAGGGAGGACCATCAGAAAAGGGGAAAGTTAAAGATCAAAGTTTATTGAATGAGTCAGGGCTGAGAAAATTAAAGATGCTTTTACAGCTGTAGAGCTTTCTGGCCTGCTCAATTTGATAGCCTTACGTAATGGATGTTTAGAAACTGCCGAAACAAACTGAAATAACTTTAAAAATTTGATTTGATCTTGAATTTGTCTTCATGTGATAACCCTTTGACCCCTAAGAGTGGGTAGCATAAAATATCATCCCAGAATCGCTCATAAAGGTCCTGAAAATAAAAGAAATGATCGCCAACTGACGAAGCTCTTGTTTAACAAGTTGTTAAACAAATTCTCCCCGTCAGAACCTCAGGGAATGTATAGAGATCAGCGTGGAGAATATGCATAATGATGTTAGGGTGTAAAGGGTTAAGGGAATTCTATTATCATCCAGGATATCTTGAACAGTGATCACTCCTTTATCTCTCCAATTTCTTGAGAAAAAGCTATTTCCTTCAAGAAGAACTTCACTATTATTAGAAAGAATTAGATCATGACCATTGTCGCAGTTGTATAGGTTCCTTAGTTCTTTGAAAATTGTCCAATATTCTTCATAAAAAGGTGGTTTATCTGTTTTCTCTTGAAATCTAGAATCATAACTACGTCACAGAAGCAAGTTTAGTCCACCGTATTTTTGGAAAAAAGTAGGTTGCAATGGATTTCCAAGTTTCTGTAACATTCGAGTTACAATGGATATCAATTAAACACCTTGAAATCCAGGCTAAACGCAAAGATTTAAATTAAGTATGTGGATCCGGCGCCCGCAGTCTCCCACTTATATAGTCTTGGTGCACAACATTTCTTTTTATGTTGTCTTGTTTCTTATCCCAATTAACAATTGGTTCATACATCAGCGTGCGTTCATCGAGATATGAAGCACGCGGGAAGTTTGGAGAGCACGAAAGATGCGCAAGAGTTGCTCTTGGCTATGCCTCGAGCAACTCCAGCTTCTTGAGTGCCCTCCAAGCTTCCCACGTGCTTCATATGACGCACGAACCAATTGTTTTATAACAATTTCAATTTTTTTTTTCTCGAGGGATTTGTTTGCTGACGTCATGAGTGTGTATAATAGGAATAGGAAGCACGCTCACGCAATTGAATTTGATCAGACAAATTTACTAGCTATGTTATAAATAGAAATTG